CATGCAGGGACACATGCAGCAAATAGCAGCTGCTTTTGGCCCAGCTATAAGTACTGCTTAGTCCTGTGCAATCACTCTAATAACAAGTGCAATTTGGAGTCTGCGGTATTCAGGCCATTAGACAAACAGTTACACAGGGAACTGCGTAAAAAGGGCCTATTCAGACAACTTGACATTTAGACTATTATTCAAGTTCACATAATTACTTTGCCCCATAGTTTTCATTTTACTTTGTATGTTTTTTACTATACATTTTGAGTATATTTGAAATTTTCTTAATGTTATTTATGTTACACGTTATTGGAATTTAACCATGCTATATTAAATGCTAGATTTGGTATTAAATTAAACATGGTTGATATAAGATAATATTTATCTCTAAAACGTCCTGCTTTGTACAAAAACTAAGTTGATTAACAACAACAACCAAAATAAATATCAAAATCAAACTCAAAGAGACATTGTCCACAGTTGGTTTCTAGAAATGTTCAAATTCACTGTAATATTTTTCCCTTTGACCAAAAATGAAAATGGCGACGCCTGTAAATGAGTGTCATTAAGTAATGACCATGATGTTGAATGGCCGTCTCAGTGGGGCTGATCTTCTTAGCTCACTCTCTGCTAATCACCCACAAATCTGTGTGCTGTAATCTACAGCCCCCTGCATCTTTCCGCACATCGCATCAGATTAACATAATGACATGCACAAGTCTTTTTTTATAATAATACAATCACTTAAATGTTTGGTGAACTATTTCTTATGCACAACAGAAATGCATGCTATCCTCTGTTGTTTGAACACTTAAACTGCTGCTAATCACTCTGCAGAGAATGCCAAATTAAGGTTATGTGTGGGTGTGTGTGCAGAGCAAACATATGCAACCAAATTAAAGCCTTAAAGCTGGTGAATTGAAGAGGATTTGATTCTGGGAGCAATTCATGGGAATTAAGCAAATTAGCTCCCCAATTAGCTGCAGACAGTAAAGATTTAGGGAACAAAAATTAATTAGATGGATTTGTCATTGTTTCAGGCGACATAGACGGGAGATTTATCGTGAATGATTGCCACTTTATCCCTTGGACTCATTTTGTGTCTATTTATCGTCTCATTTCCTGTCAAAATAAATGTTCAATCATTTGTGAAGAAAAACCTCACATTGAGCCAAAGCAAACTTCCAAAAAGTCATTCTCTGATCTAATCCTCTTTCCAGCACTGCGGATGTTAAAGCCAGCATTGGCAAGTCAAAGAGGAATTTCACTGTTGACGGGATATTGAGGAGCACTTCATTCTGTCATATTTACGTGTCAGAGCCAAGATGAGACCTTTTTATTGTTTTAGTTTCATAATAAGCAGAGCAAACATAGAAATACATGATCCAGGCTAATGTTAGCAAAGTCTATTTTTAGTTTTATACGCAGCTCAGTGTAGCTCATATGATAAATTCTGATTTTGTAAAGAAAGTCAATGGCAACAATTCTGGATGAAGTAAATATGGGTTTGAAGTAAATATTTGGTTATATCCTGTTCCTGAATGCAAGAGAGAGCACTTCCTCTCAGGCAGTGCAATGGTCTCAAAGTCTACAGGCCTGAGACATTCCAATTCTACATGAACTATTAAATTAGGCAATAATCTATACTACCTTAATTAAGTGATTTTCAAAATAGTTGTCACTATCTGAATCTATTTTCTGTGGCGTTCTGTGGACACGCAATCAGGAATGACCTCACTGTCTAGAATCCATTTGGACATACAAAAGAGTATGAATTGAAAATAAAATATGAAAAAAAAAAAAAAAATGTGTAAAAGAACAAAAATTAAAGAAAGTATCTTCTGCCTGAAGGTGGAGCTAGGACAGTCACGGTGGTGATAATCGGCTCTATCCAAGGTAAAGAAACTGTAGAATTAATCAAATGCCTTTTCATTTGAAAGAATAAAACAATGGTATGAATGATCAGTGAGGTGGTTGCTCATGGTGTAGTTGGAGCCTGCTGTGTGTTGGACTATTGTTCCTCTGCATGATTGTCTACTGCTGTGGCGGCTGCTTCTTGTGACTGGAGTTGGCCTGAGTTGAGGCGCTGGGCCTTGCTGGGGCACAGTGATCATTGTTACAGATGTAACTTTATAAAAGTATTAAATCGCACTGGACACGAGAAATTATTATTAAGGTATTATTTATTCAATGCTAAATAACAACATTCTTGCATGTTTTTGAATTATGTTTATGGGGTGGGAGTCGACAAGTTTTTACTTCCTTCCCACTCCATTTCGAGCTGCCAAATTGTAAATAGAGGTTCATTTGTGTATTGATATTGCGATGTAAAACACATGGTGTAACTAGGGAAACTATTGTTGCTTGATTGTATAGTTTGTTTATATATAAGTATAAACTGTAAGCACAGCAGGCAACATGTATGTTAAAGAATCATCTAAGGAATGTAAATATTGTAAATACTTATGATTGTAAAATTTCTGCTCGAATGAATAAAAAATCAATCAATCAATCAATCAAAAAATTTTTTTACCAAGATAATTGTGTTTTTTTTTCTTTCACAAAGCTACATACATTTTGTAGTTAGTGATTGCGATGATGCTCGTCCAAAGACAGAACCATGAAACACCATAACACAAGAATAAACTGCAAAAAATATATAAAAATCAACTTGAAGTGAGAAGTATCTTGCTACAAAAAAATCAGAAAAGGCAAATGTTTTTGTATAGCACAGTTCAAACACGAGGAAACTCAAATTAATCAAAAAAACAAGAGACAAAAGTATTTTACGGTATAGATTCCTTTAAATGGGTTACTCTGTGTAATTTTGGCCGTTTCTCCAATGAAAAAAAAACATGTTTACCAATAACAGATGTGACCGTTTTAAAGAATATTTACCTTTGAGTTGTTATAGGCTTAGACATTGACTTGTAAATGTCCATGAGGCTGGAGGACTCTACATGTCAATCCACCATCTTGAAATACGGTGGTTGATAAGGGACAAAAAAAGAGTTTGAGCGGGAGTTGGGGACCACTGTCAAAGACCACACATTGTCCTGAGAAGCCACCGTGATACCGTTAATTACGATACATTATCTCAATGCTAGATGGGAGTAAAAACTACACAGTGTACCTTTTTTTAACTTTTAAAAATAATGTTTATTTATTGTAGAGCAACTCTGTATTTCCATCAGCAAACCTTATGTAAAAGCACCACAGATACACTCCTTGTTTTTGTCAAACAGTGGGTCAAAAGATTATTGATCATTTGACATTTATTGATCGTGTATGATTTTGATTCCACCTTAGAGTGCTCTGTAATTTTGTTGTGGTCTGTCAAAAAAAGTTTGTTTGTGCTCGTAAACATGACAGTCTGTGCCTACTCCTCATAAACCACTTCTATTGACCAAACTGAAGAAGATGACATAGTCTGGGATCGCGTCTTAAATTCAGACAGAAGACATGTTTTATTGTCGATGGTAGAGACAGCACGAACAACACGAACAACAGAATGCAAGTGTATTATACATACAGAGCGGAGGCATGGAGACCTCCAATCAGCAGCTGCCACGGTGCCATGTAGCTTGGCCTTCAGATAGACAAAACATGAAGTGGAAAAGTACAGGTTTCTGCACATTGATAGAATGATGAGTTTAACTTTAACAAAAGTTGCTTAAAAGTGTTATGAAATCTCACAAAACAATGAGAACATGAGCAGCTGTTAAATGCATCTTTCGTTATTTTTCTTAAACATTGTATAAGAATACGCTGCACCTCCTTCTGCCGTGCTACATCTAAACTCTATATATATCTGTCCGATGCAGTGACCCCTTTCCTTTGGTCCTGCTTCATCCCTGCCTCCTGCGGTGCTCCTCTTTCTAGAGCAGCGGCCCTGGATTACGCTGTGTGATAAGCTTCCTATTGCTTCCAACTGCCCGGATTATCTCACCCCATATCCTCCGAGGCGGATTTTATAAAAGCTTAATTTAGAAGATTTTTTTTTTTTCTCATTCAAACTAATTAGCGCCCAACATTGAGTGGACTTTAACTATAGCATTCACTTAAAAGTCAAGCAAAAAAACAAATGAGGAAGCTTAATTGTGTAATGATTTAATGACATGATAACTAAACATACATTTTATGCATCATTGACAAAGTGCTTAAGCTTCGTTAAGATCCCAATGCTTTATTAAATTAGTGAAGACAGTCCACCACACACCATAAATTATGAACAGGATTGAGCCAGTTTATTTAAAGCTGAGTTACTGGATTTCGTGTTCTCAAAAAGTGGGACTACATTGAAAAATAGTCTTGGCCTGGCACTCACAAACTTTTTGCCTCTATCAAAACTTTATTGCAGTATTTTCATCCAGAAAGGTTGCCATCCTTGAGCAGCCAATCAACATGCAGCGCAAAACACCCAAAAGTGCATTAGTTAAAGGGAGCATGTATATTATTCACTCTGTTCTAATCCAGTCAAAACAATTACAGAACATTTGCAACGCCGCACTGATTCCTGATATAATCCACCTTCAGCTAGAAACTCTGTGTAACATGTAACACTTCTTACTTTGTATCTGGTTTCATTTAAATATGTGTGGTCCTTTTATATGAGGATTTTGTTGTAAAACCAATTTGTTGTTAAAACCAGCTAAATTTCACCTAAGGAATTGACGACAAAAATGAGAGACTGATTCTGCTATCTGATTGGATAATCTATTTGGATACAATACAAATACATTGGACATGATGAATTGAGATCATGTCCATTGCATATTTAGTGAAGAATAACTCACAGAATAGTCCAAATATAATATGACCTTTAATATGGGGACACATAAATAAGTGGATAGAATTAAAATTGAGATATTACATACTGTCATATGCAGCGGCCACATTTACACAATTTTCCGCTATAAACAGACTTTGCCTCTAGAGAAAAAGAGACAGGGGTATAATAATTACCAATAGACTTTACACAAGTTTAAATTAAATCACCCAATAGATTACTAGGATGTAGGCGTGTGAACCAGTGGGAATATCCCATGTGGCTGCAGATGGGGCCATGGCCAGTAAAGTCTCGTGGGCAGGTAGGTCACGGTTGGACTTTGTGGGGGGCAGCACCAACAGGCTGCTCGATGGCCCCCAAACAGAGCTGAAGGGTGAGGGGGCAGGAGAGGCGCCTGTGCTCCCAGCCTTCGTACCCTTCGCCGGGCTCTTCTGCAGTGGTAGTCCCCCTTAGAGAAATCGTGGAAGTTTGACGGGTGAATGGCCCAGAAATGGCCTTTGCCGTTGTCGCTCCGGCCAGCTTTGATGAAGCAATCGTTGAGGGACAGGTTGTGGCGTACACTGTTCCTCCAGTTTTTGTCCTGAAAAAAGGAATGATGGTGAGCAAAAACCAAGAGACTGTAAGATGGAGACCCAAAAACTCTAACCATGGACTCAAACTATTTTTGAATGGAAAATGTTCATAATCCAGTGGTCTACATTTCATTAACAAAGCTGTACAGAGTTATAATGTAAACCAAACACAATTCTGGCTATACGTCATTAACTGTTTGGAACAACACCCTTGGTTACCTTTTTAGCCTGTCAAACCTGATCAAGACTAATCCACCGGTCTGTTTTTACACCTGGTGAAGGAAGTGGGAGTTTGCAACCCTATCAACCGGATTACTGTATTTGGTAGAATTTGCCAACAAGATCATCCAATGTCCTTGCAAGAACCCAACTGTCTTACCACCAGACAGTTCATCTAAAGTCTATAAGTCTTTTATTGAAATGGGCAAAGGTTATGAACATTACGTGATGTGTAAGAAATGATCTTAATTTGTAGTTTATTTTCCCTCATTTTGTATTATAAATGTATAAATGGATGGATAAATGGATAGATGACATACCTTGCTTTTGAAATAGGGATAATGGTCCATGATCCACTGGTAAATGTCACACAGAAGAAGCTTTTTAGGTTCGGATGCCAGGATGGCTTTTGATATGAGAGCAATATAGGACTGATTGGGTTTTTCTTCTGTGAAATCTGAGGTGGTTGTGGTCATCTCCTCTTCTTCACCTTCTTTGCTGCTTCTTTTTATGGTCCCAAGATCATAAGGTTGAATGGTATTGATCTGCTCACTTGTCGTCACCTCATTGGGTTTGGGAACATGGCTGGGTTCCGTCGCTTGTTCCGTTGCTTGTTCCTTTGCTTGTTTTTTTGCCTGTTCCGTTGAAGAACATCTGAGCGGTTCTTCTGTAGATTCTTGGACTCCTTTGTTGAAAAGGAGATAGTCAATAGTGAAACTCTGTCCAAGTCTTTCTCTGCTGCTGTCCGCTTTCATTTTTCAGATATCAAGTTCCAACACAGACTAAATATCAGAGCAGTTAAAATATCATAGAATGTTGTTTGGATTCTATGTGTCAAAGCATGTGTTGAACATGCTAGGACCCCTGATTAGCGGTGTCTCGCGTCCAAGTGAGTTGACAAGATCAGAGATAATGATGAGCTTCTCAACTGTTGTTAACCTTGATGCGCTCAACACAGACACTGTTTGAATGCGTGGAAATGACGTCAACTTATTGGACCGAATGTAGCTGTGCGTCAGTTAAAAGGAGAGACAAAAATTAAAATCTTAAAATCGTGTAGTAAACCCAGTCTGTCAGTATCAGCTCAGCAGAGGAGGTGCACTCGGCTGCTTTTATACGAGTGTGTTGCAAGCCCTCACAGAAGGTCGTCATGAGGCACAGTGGTGGTCCAGGTGGGGGGTCTGAAATCAGGCCGATTATTTTTATTAACTTCAGCAAATCTTTGTAATTACCAGAGATTAAACACCCAAGATTTAAGAACACATAAGTGTTCATAGAGAGGCCACAGAATGACTGAAGGCCTGTGGTCATTGTTAGCATTGTTTTATACAACCAGGATGCTTTAAAGATTTACATAAGCACTGAGTGCAAATAATAGTAAAAAAAAAAGAGTTAAAAAAAAAACAACTGGTCAGTTATTTAGTATGAGATCAGATATTTTTACCAACAAATACTATTAATATGAAATATTGTATAATATATATATATATATATATATATATATATATATATATATATATATATATATATATATATATATATATATATATATATATATGATATATATATATATATATATATATATATATATATATAGAGAGAGAGAGAGAGAGAGAGAGGGGCCTGGAGGGTAAAGGTGACAGTAGTGCCCGTGGTGATCGGTGCACTCGGGGCAGTGACCCCGAAGCTAGATGAGTGGTTACAGCGGATCCCCGGAACAACCTCGGACATCTCGGTCCAGAAATGTGCAGTGCTAGGAACAGCAAAGATACTGCGCAGAACCCTCAAGCTCCCAGGCCTCTGGTAGAGGACCCAAGCTTAGAGAGGGATAACCGCCCGCGGAGGGCCAAAGGTGAGTGGACAATTTTATATATATATATATGTTCTTCGGTATTGTATAACTGTTGAAGCTGTTAAGAATATGGCATTATATAGAACTGTATAGCAGGTCCTGTATAAAGAAACATGAGCTGAATGATTGCTCGACAAAGAAGAAGCCATTACAAATATTAAAACTCAGATATATATATATAAATATATATATATATGACAAATCTATGTTTTTATCTTGAGCCCATACATTTACAAATTCACATAGCAAGGACTGCAAACATATGGGATGTAGTACAGATCATATTAACTTTAAAAAATATAAGTTTTAAGTCAGTAATTAAAAAATATTCAATGAACTATAGCCTCCAGTATGTACTACAGTATAACAATTATAACTATGACTTTTGGTGTCCAGATAATGATTTAATTGCGATTTGCTTGGTATCTTCAGATTCAGATTCAGATTCATTTATTTGCCATTTGCAGTAAAACCACATTGGAAAAACTGTGCAAGACTACCCCTGTGTACCAGACAGAGAAGACGACACACACTAGAGCTCTTGCCACGGCGCCATCTTTACGGCGCCATGCGACAAACAAGTCTTTTCACGTCATTATTTATTTACTCAAAATGTAATGAAACATTTCTTATCAGTATTATTATATTTTTGCAAATATTCAATTGTTGTTCGAGGGCAAATGTTCCCACAAGAAAATATTTTACCTCAACTATAGCTCTCGATAAAAAAATTAAAAAAAATTGATCATTCTAAAAACACAATAATAGTAATAATCAGCAACAGGTCTTCAGGTCACAGCAGCAGAGGTGGAGTAGCCTCTGGGTGGAGCAGGACAGGTCACAGCAGCAGAGGTGGAGTAGCCTCTGGGTGGAGCAGGACGGGTCACAGCAGCAGAGATGGAGTAGCCTCTGGGTGGAGCAGGACAGCTCACAGCAGCAGAGGTGGAGTAGCCTCTGGGTGGAGCAGGACGGGTCACAGCAGCAGAGGTGGAGTAGCCTCTGGGTGGAGCAGGACAGGTCACAGCAGAAGAGATGGAGTAGCCTCTGGGTGGAGCAGGACTGGTCACAGCAGCAGAGGTGGAGTAGCCTCTGGGTGGAGCAGGACAGCTCACAGCAGCAGAGGTGGAGTAGCCTCTGGGTGGAGCAGGACGGGTCACAGCAGCAGAGGTGGAGTAGCCTCTGGGTGGAGCAGGACAGGTCAAAGCAGAAGAGATGGAGTAGTCTCTGGGTGGAGCAGGACGGGTCACAGCAGCAGAGGTGGAGTAGCCTCTGGGTGGAGCAGGACGGGTCACAGCAGCAGAGGTGGAGTAGCCTCTGGGTGGAGCAGGACGGGTCACAGCAGCAGAGGTGGAGTAGCCTCTGGGTGTAGCAGGACAGCTCACAGCAGCAGAGATGGAGTTGTCTCTGGGTGGAGCAGGACGGGTCACAGCAGCAGAGGTGGAGTAGCCTCTGGGTGTAGCAGGACAGCTCACAGCAGCAGAGATGGAGTTGTCTCTGGGTGGAGCAGGACGGGTCACAGCAGCAGAGGTGGAGTAGTCTCTGGGTGGAGCAGGACGGGTCACAGCAGCAGAGGTGGAGTAGCCTCTGGGTGGAGCAGGACGGGTCACAGCAGCAGAGATGGAGTGGTCTCTGGGTGGAGCAGGACGGGTCACAGCAGCAGAGATGGAGTAGTCTCTGGGTGGAGCCGGACGGGTCACAGCAGCAGAGATGGAGTAGCCTCTGGGTGGAGCAGGACGGGTCACAGCAGCAGAGGTGGAGTAGCCTCTAGGTGGAGCAGGACGGGTCACAGCAACAGAGGTGGAGTAGCCTCTAGGTGGAGCAGGACGGGTCACAGCAGCAGAGGTGGAGTAGCCTCTAGGTGGAGCAGGACGGGTCACAGCAGCGGAGGTGGAGTAGCCATGGTTTTTTTTTTATGGTTTTAATGCATGCATTTTATCACTGTTCCTTGGACACTTCCCCTAACCCGCACCTGTTTTAATCAAGACCTTTTAGTTGGGGGCGGGCACTGCAGGACGGGAGGACACAGAGTGAGGCGAGACAGAGAGCACACGGAGGACCAGAGGAGGAGGACGCGGGACCGGGCCAAGGACGAGGACGAGCACTGCCAACCAGAGACCACGGGGGACTGAGGCCAGCGGGGGGAGCGGCACCGGTGAGGGGGCGCGCATTGACAGCACATGACAGCTAGGCCCACCAACAACCGGGATGTGCCGGCACTCCCCCGTGGGTGCCCGGTGCCGACCCGTGGTCGGCTAGTGGCTGGCGGAACTGCGGCCCGGTCCCGGGGGAGAAGAGCGGAGGCCAGTGGGGACGGACTCTGGGCTTTTATCATCTTTTTAATGGACCTTTTTGTATATATTTTATTAAATATTTTATCCCCTTTTTATCCAGTTTCCCTTTTAATGATCACACCCCCTCAACAGACACTTTTAAACCTGAGACACAAGCAAAGTGTAGTTATATGTTAGCATCTGTATGTTTACATCTGTACATGTTAGCAGCAGTATGCTTTCATCTGTACATTAGAAGCAGTATATTTACATCTGTGCATTAGCAGCAGTATGTTTACATCTGTGCTATAACAACAGTAGGGGTGGGAACCTCAGGGTACCTCACAATACGATACGATACGCGATACAAAGCTCACGATAACGATTATATCACGATATGACGATTATCGATATATTGGTCAGAAATATACTGTTATAGAAGTGTAAGTTATTAACTAATTCTCAACTACTCTGGATTCAAATACAGGCCATATGGTCTGTTGGCAGCAGGTCAGCTGATAGATGGAGATGTGTTTCTTTGGCAATATCTGTGTCTAAGAACAATATGTTCAGGTCAAAGCAGATTATTGCAAGTATCAGAGTTGTATCAGCGTAAGGAAGCGTACAGAGGAGCCTTGAGCGACACAACAATACTGACTTCATTTGTGTAATATCCAGAGTAGATATGCAGCCAGCGAAAATTCAATTTGGTAGACGTTAACCAAAATTACCCCCTCCAGGCCGGCTCGCATCCCCAGCCTATCGCTCAGCAGACGCCCCCTTCCAATCATCTGTACCGACTACGCCAGCCGCATAAAAACGGAGAAACTCCCACTTCTCGGCCTCTGAAGCCTTGCAAGCCCTCGAAGCCTTGCAGAGGATCGTCTGGAGGAATCGTTTTCGTCTACTCACGCTACTCGGCGCGACCCTGGCGTCCTCCGTCTGGCTGCTTGTGGTCTGCTCCTCCTCCGCGTCCCTGCACCTGCTGTGGTTCGCGTGTCTCCACTGCTCTCCTCCTCTGCGGGCTCTTTCTGCGGGCTGCTCCGCGGGGCCCTCCGCGGGTTCTGTGCTGCTCGTTCCTCGTGGTCTGCTGCCGCACGCAGAAGGTCTGGCGGTGCCATGCGTGTCCCTGCCTCGATTGGCGGTGCCGCGTTGTCCCGTTGCTTTTCCCAAGTCTCCTGGCATGTGAGTACAGTGAGTGTGCCGACCGCGGACGGATTAATCCCGGAGTTTTGGGCTGCAGGCGATTGGTTTTTGCCCCGCGCACTGGACTGCAGGCGTCAGTTTTTTCGCCTCGTGCTTGGTCTGCAGGCTCCGTTTTCACACGTGTTTGAGCTAACTGAGGGGCAATGCA